TTGTGTAAGAAATTTAATAAAGAAAAGAGCAAGGTCTCACCTTTAACATTAAAAAAAAAAAAATTAATGCATTTTCATTAAAAGTTATCTGTATTTGTATAGTTCGAGAATAGCTTAGACAGTGATGCTCATTGGAAGGTTCTAGTGACAATGTGACAATTACTGGAACTAGATGGCTGTTAGGAAATGGAATAAATGGAATGCTTCCAGATGGTACAGCAAATTCCAGTTATTATTGCTCATTGGAAGCTTCTAGTGAATTTTTTGTCGCTGGATGAGGTTTAGTAGCTTCCAATGGCTAAATAAATTTATAAATTGAAGATATTTGTGATCGTGTGATCCAATTTTATTTTGGCATCAATAGATTCGTCTCTGAGACGATTCGAATATTATCCAAATTGGATCACATAATCACGAAATATCACATTTCGGAACTACGTACTATTAAAATTAACAAAAAAGATTTTATACAGATTTAAAAAACAGGTTTTTTGCGAATATTTTGAGATTTTATAATCGGATTTTGGATATTTTTATATTATTAGATTGGTCTCACTGAGCGAATCCAATGATATCAAAATCGCTAAAATCCAACTATAGGATCTCGAGATATTCACAAACCCCCATTTTTTAAATTGTATAAGATTTATTTTGTAATTTTAATGCAGTTCTCGTGATATCTTGTGACTATGTGATCCAATTTGGATGATTTTGATAACATTCGAATTGACTCAATGAGACGAATCTAATGATACCAAAATCGTCAAAATTGGATTACAGAAAGTGTTCCAAATCGAAATCGATTAATCGATAATTAATCGATAATTTTATTAGACAACTAATCGATTTTCGACGATTAATCGATTATATAGTTAGTTAATCGACTAATTGACTAATCGACTAATTGTTTTATATGGTATCATACTCTGATCTTGCTACGCAATTATATCCAAGCCATTTCGATATACCAACTAATCGACTAGTCTATTAATCGAATCGATTAATCGATTTTTAATCGATCTTTTAAAAAATTTTTGGCCAACTAATCGATTGCATTTTTTGGTCCGATTTGTAACACTAATTACAGGATTTAGAAATATCTTTAGTTTTTTGTTATATATATAAAAAAAAAATCCAATATAATTGGTTTATAAATATAAAAACCTTCCAATGAAAAATTTTCCAGTCAGACTTGCTCACTAGAAGCATTGGCTGGCTGGAACGATTTGGAAGCCTAATGACCTTCCAGTCTTCCAATTGGCAACACTGAGCTTGGATATCACTTTCTGCAAGATAGCTTCGTATGTTTTTCATTAGGGTTTTGTTAGGGTTCGACGTTTAGCCAGAGTTTTGACATTTCGCCAAAGTTTCGACGTTTCTCCAAGGGCTTCGTCTTCATTTTTCGCGATTTTGGAAATAGGCTTCATCTAACAACTATAATTATGACGGGTTTTTCGACTTAAATAACTTTCTTTTTATAACTTTTTTAACTCTTCACCTTTTATAATACATTCACGTTATTAAATGAATTTAACAAACCTTTTGCCTTCAATAATATGATATCATTTGCCTTAAATAACTCTCTTGTCTGACAAAAGAATTTTTAAAACCTTTGTTTAAATAATACTGTTGAGACGGCTAAGAGATTTAAAAACCTTCATTCAAAACAAATTAGCGTGTAAACTAAGCATTACCGTAAATTTTTTTACCGATTAAAGTAGTGATTATAATATAGAATCAATAAAAAAATTTGGATTTTTAATGATTTGCAGTATTCGGAAATCGGAGTTAACGTAACCTGTTCCAGACTTTCAATGTGTAAAAAAGCGTTCTGTAAATTCCCTGTATATTATTTTTTTAATTAATGGCAGCACAGTCGATGAATGCTGTCTCGGAATGTCCTGCAAAAATCTCCTTGATTAATCTATAGAAATATTACAAGCATATCTGATATTTGTTAGAGATGAACTTTTTTTTTTTTTAACGTTTAATCGATTAGACCACATAACATCCTTAGCTAGGCTGCCCCAAAGTGTTGGTTGTCTGACAAGATGCATAGTGACAATATAATATATTAATGCGATTCTACAAAATAATTAAAAATGATCAATTAATAGTTAAGTTGCCTAAATTAATTTTTCGTATTGATCAATGCCGCATATTTGGTCAGGTAACCAGCACCTTGGGGGTCACCCTGGCTAATTCGAATTTTCATTGCTAAACTTTACATACAGTGTTCAACTCGGTACTATACAAAATTCCAGGGGAGGGGAGTATATTATAGCGAGGAGGTATTTTATTCCGTATGTATGGTACTATGCAGGTCTTAAAAATTATCATTGTTTAATGAAAAATTGAATAATTTGCGTGAATTACAAGATTCATGACAGAATTAGCGCACGTACGTATGTACATACATTTGACAAGTTGAATATGGAGTAAAGTGTTACGTATATACGTATGTACGTACGTACGTACGTACATATGTACATACGCGATTCATTACAGTTATGAAAATATTATGTCAGTGTACATAAATTATGTTTTTACTCAAGCTGAATGAATTTCAGCCAATTAAGTTAATAAAGCGTTACACACTTATTCCACAAAAAAAAAATATAATGTTAGATGCTGCATATGCCTATCGGACACTTCATGTGATTTAACACGTTGTTCTAAAAATAACTATGATTAATAATTATTATCGTTATGAATCTGGGCTTTAGCGGATTACTTTTGTAATATGTTAGATCTAGATTGTTTTCACAGATCATGACACTGTAAGCAAATGAAGTCAAAGTACCTTCTATAACTCAAAAATATCATAAGTGACATTCATTTAAAGTGAGATTTGTGAATTCTAATAAGCAATTCAAATTTATTAACTATAAATATTCGGACCTGTTTTAGAATTTAAAGAGCGCGTAAACCTCATTATCCTTAGATACGGTATATTGAACACCTTTGATTGAAAGATTAATCCTGACATCTTATCTCTTATAGTTGAAACAATATGTTTCCATTACATATTATTTCATTACATACTGTGTTTCATAGTATTTTTCTAAAACTCGCCTCGATTGTCTAAAGTGACCTAATTATTAGATCCTATGTATGCACACAGTAATATGAGACTCAATGTAATGCATTCTTTGTGGTAAGACAGTTCCAGACCCAAAAAAAAAATTTTTTTTAAATGATTTAACTGCTAATGGTGCTGAATCATTAATTAATGAATGGTAGGTATGTTAATGAACGATATTTAGTTATTTGCTGATTGTAAGAATCCAGGTCAAAGTTTTTTGATTATAATCTTGGCAAATTCATTAAGCTTACGGACAGACCAATTTGACCGATTTTTTTGGTTTTTATTTTAATTAATTCAATTGCTGTTAAGTAATTAATTTTATATTAATTTGTTAAATTCAAAGCTAAATATATACATTTAAAATAACAAATTTATCTATGAGAATGTATTGCACATGCTGTACGTAGATATATTATTTAGTTTTATTAATATAAAAAAATTATTAAGAATAATTATTAAAATAAATGTTAATAATCAATATTGTGATCTTACTCACTTATACAACATCTTAAATAATTTTACTAACAAAGTTATGAATATATATTAAAGATATTCTAGTATATATAGTATGAAGTAGGGATATCATTAATCGGTTTTTATAATAGATAACCAGATCAAGCCGATAAAATCCCTGGTATTAAATTACTATATGGAGTTCAAACTCAGAAAGGCTAGGTTTTAGAGTGCAAAGATGACGCAATTTAAAAGAGAAAAGGAATCTGTAATGAAATTCATACATGAAATATAATGGAGAGGGTCAAATATTACGTCATTTCTGGCAATCTTAGTTTTAATTATTCTAAATTTAAATCATAGTTATTATCACTAATCTAATTTAAAATTTATAGCATATAACAATAATGCTAATATATTGGGTAAGTAAATATTACAGTGTATATATTTATTATTTGTAAAAGTAAATAATCATAATAGGTTTGTCTTAAGATTTAAAATTATTATTAATTTAATATTAAAACTTTAGATTTTCGGTTTTACGATAATTTGCCAAGGAAAAAAAAAAAAAGTAATAAATTTTTTTAGATAAATTCGAATATATATTTGGCAAAAGGTTTCAATCAATTTAAATTTAGCCATTAATAAAAAATTAATTCGTAATCAATGATCGACTGATTAATTCTTATTAAACATATCTATCATTTGAACAGAATTCATAGCTATAGTTATTTTCTAACTGTTATTAGTAATGATAGACATAACTTTATTGGTGCAAATTTGCAGAAATTAACGGCTCAAAAATGAATTTTCTGCATGTGGAATAATCCATTAAATATTATGTAACCTCAATTAACTTAGCCAATCATTTTCTTTTGGTAACCATAGTTTTCTTTAAAAATCCGACAATAAATTTTTAAAAAAATATGATCATTCATATGTATTACGGAAATATTAAATATCTATTCATTATTGTCTACAAAGAAAGTCGCATATTCTGTAAAAAAAAAACCCATAATTTTTATTATTAACATATTACGTAAATGAAGAACCTATACAGTTCGAATATTGGAAGGTTTCTATTGACTTTGAGTAGTCATTGATTTCCCAACGTGGTATTTAATAAGAAGTCTTTCCACGATGCTTAATGAACTTATTTTTTCACACGCTTACTATGTGATAAGTCAATGAATCGGTGAGTATCGTTTTCGATTTCACCGAAAAAAATAACAAAACAAATAACTATAAAGACCCTTAATTTGGGGTCTTTGCGTGTTTATATTTATTACGTTATTAGGCTGATATAAGCATTTGTTGTAATAATCATTAAACACATTTAAATAGATCCTTTACCTTTAACTTTGTCATGATATTTCTTACTCAATAGATCCTTTTCTAAAAAATATTATCGCATTCTTTTTTTTTTTCACCTATTTTATTTTAAAAAAGAAATTGAGTAATGGGTAATAAATCCTCAAAATCTAGGCCAACAAATATATTAAGATCTCGAAAACCTTCCAAAAATACTTTTCGATACTTTGACGGTAGAAGATTCCATAACGATGCAAATTCAAAATACATAATGCCAAATGATGACGAAGAAGGTTTGTTTGCATAAGCTTATCGTTATGTGAAGTTGTGCATAATTGAATGATCATGTGACAATGCAGATCTTTTCAAGTAACCAAAATTTCAACTCATTTATATGTACTGTAGTTGACAGACTTCAAATACAGCATTTTCTTTACCGTAACATATGGAATGGTAATTATTCGGCTCCAGTAAAAGAGCTTCTCGAACGTGGCAATTGTAAAGTTCTTGACGTTGGGTATATATTTATTTATTTATTTACTAGTCATCCTAATGACAGGTTATATTAATTGTCGGTCATGTAACAATATACATACATGATATATCAGAAATTTTAACACTTTATTTAATTAACAAAAGTTGCGGTCCTGGTACATGGCTCCTCGACATGGTAATTATTATCGACATTATTATTTATCCTGTTCATTACGTATACTAATTCTATATATTATTGAAATTATTAGTCAACGACATATCAAAAATCCACATTCACTGGCATAGATATTTCTCAAATATTTCCGACTGGTATCAAACCTCCAAACTTAACTTTCCACACAGCAAATGTCTTAAAAGGCCTACCGTTTCCTGACAATCATTTCGATTTCGTATACATGCGAAACCTAATAATAGCATTTACCGAGGACGAATGGAATACAGTAATTGGTGAATTGATCAGAGTATTGAAACCCGGAGGGTGGATAGAGTTAATGGAAGGCAATATGGAATTTGAAGGGGAAGGTGCTTGCGCACAAGTTTTGTTGGGTGCTTGTAAGTATTAAAATTATTATTATAATAATTGTTGGTTCATTTTAAATATCTTTATTTAATTTAATTTTTTTAAAAAAGTTAGATCAATACTTGTTTCAAATTCTATGAATCCACGAATCTGTTCTCAAATTTATACATTCCTTTCAACCTCACCTTTGCTAAGAAATTTTTCATTTGAAGAAAAATTATTACCACTCGGCAAATGGGCTGGTAAAATTGGTGAAATTGCAGGTCAGGATTTTTGTTCTCTATTATTAGCAGTGAGAGGTGCAGTATGTCGCGTACTTGAAAATGAGAAAGTGATCAGAGGTTGTAGTTGTGGTATTAGGGTGTGTCATGCCGGAAATGAGATTTTTGATAAGGATGGTAAAAATATGTGTGATTATGAAAATAGATGGAATGAAGAGTATGGTGATCTAGTTAAGGAAATTGTTAGAGAATGTGATGAAGAAAAAGCAAATTATAGACATTATAGATTTTTTGCTCAAAAAATTTAATTATTAGTTACTTCAATAGATAATTGCATGGGACTTTTTAGAGTTTAACCTCCTCTTATACTTAATTATATGAATACACAATTATTTGTATTAATGTATATTATGCTATTCTTATGCAAAAAAAAATTATTATAATTTAGTGTAATTAGAAACTTTTTAATTAAATTGGTGATAAAACAGCTTTAAATTTTAGCTATGTTTATTTACTAAATTATTTACGTATGTACGAACGTCGAATTTCCTAAAATTATTTCACTGAAAAATTTGTTGCCTACATAGCGATAAATGTCGATATTACTTAAGTTAATTGATGATATAATAGGTTAAACTCGAATATATTTGTACAGTAATAGATTTTTTAAAAAAATTATATATATGTCGACTAAATCAGCTTTGAATAACCTGTTTGTAGGCCCAAAAAATTCCATAATAAAAATTATTTACGCGTGAACACGTACGTGCGACGTATCCTCGGTTCTCCAAGTGATAATATACAGATTGTTGGCGCCATGCATAAATGATAAAATTATGCATCATGTGAGAAAGCTTAACGACGCATTTGGCGTGAAAAAACGTAATTTTTAATTGAAAGTATTGCCTAATATGATTTTATAGCTGTGATTTCATCATAATATATAGTATATATACGTTGCAAAAGGCAGGACTGGTTCTGGGTTCGGGTAAGGTCACACGATTGTTCATCTAAAAATACTACACTAAACTAATAAAGACTTGATCCGAGTAATTGGCGTTTTTAGAGCTCTAGATTACACCGCAAGTAGCGGTAGTGATGCAGTAGAATCGTCCTCGTAACTAGTTACGACATAAGCTTTAGCTAGTTACAGCTTAAGCCGTAACATCATCAGGACGATTCTACTGCATCACTAACCACGAGCTATCAAATATAGTGTCACAGGTTTATACCAATTAGCATTAAATCTTCTACCAAGTGGGAGATATAAAAAAAAATTTTTTCTTTATATTACTTATTTTTAGATTTTAATACTAATTAGTATTCTATAAATTTAAATAAAAGTAAAATTTTAAAAATCTGTTACGTAAATTGAGTAATATAAAAACGAATTCTTAGCTTACACTACAGGAGCGACCGTCGATGTTACACGACTGACTTTTCACCCGGTGTGCAACATATAAAAAAACTATTTTACA